AAAAAAAAAAAAAAAAAAAAAGTATTTAGGAGACAACTGGAGAAAACAACTCAGATTGGATATCTGGCATTTGATAATAAGAAATTTAGCTCTGGGATGGGCGTGGTGGCTCACACCTGCAATCCCAGCACTTTGGGAGGCTAAGGCAGGCAGATCACCTGAGATTGGGAGTTCGAGACCAGCCTGATCAACATGGAGAAACCCTGTCTCTACTAAAAATACAAAATTAGCCGGCCATGGTGGCACATGCCTGTAATCCCAGCTACTCAGGAGGGCTGAGACAGGAGAATGGCTTGACTGATCCCAGGAGACGGAGGTTGCGGTGAGCCGAAATTGCGACATTGCACTCCAGCCTGGGCAACAAGAGCAAAACTCCATCTTAAAAAAAAAAAATTAGCTCTGTAATGATGTGTTTGTACGAGGAAAACACTCCACAAACTCAAAGTGCTTCTTCCTATTCCCTCACTCAACAACAACAAAAGACCTCTGTTACCCCCAAATATGAGGGGATTTCTCCCTACAAGCAAGCAATTCTGCAGTAGACAATAGCTGGGTGTCCTCTGATTCAATTCTGACACTACCTACCTGGAGAGTGTCAGACTCGAGGCTGAGGGCCCAGTCCTCAAAACTGTATGACCCTTTAGACAGCAGTCCTAAGTTGGGCCTCTGGAACTACTGATCTACTGACCACCAGCTTTAAGTGGGGGTTCCTATCACCCCTTCTGTGGGTTTGATTAATTTGCTAGAGTGGCTCACAGAACTCAGGAAAACACATTTACCAGTTTATTATGAGGGATATTCAAAGGATACAGAAGAAGTGATGCATAGGGTGAGATATGGGAGAAGGGACATGGAGCTGTCATGCCCTCCTTGGGTGCACCAAGCTCCAGGAACTTCCATGTGTTCAGCTATCCAGAAGCACTCTAAACCCTGTCCTTTCAAGGTTTTATGGAGGCTTTATTACATAGAAACGATTGATTAAACCACTGGCCATGAGTGATCAACTTGACTTTTAGCCCCTCTCCTCTCCCTAGAGGTTGGAGGATGGGACTAAAAATTCCAACCTCTAATCATGTCTGTCTTTCCACCAGTGACCAGTCCCATCCTGAAGCTATCAGTCAATCATTAGCATACAAAAAGATATGACCTTGGATATTTCAAGGATTTTAAGAGTTATATGACAGGAGAAGGGGGGAAAGACCAAATATATAATTCACAGTATCACAGGTGTGATAATGGTACTCTAGCAATGCTTGAAATTTTCTCCACAATGAAATTTAAAATACTAAATATTAAAATATATGAAAATAAACCAAACAGAGGGCCTATATATACACAAAATAATCATTAACAGTATTTTATCCAAGAAAGTTTTACAAATACGGAAATAAAAAGGTCAACCCCTAGTACGGTAAAAGAAAATGAATATTCTTTTTTTAAAGATGGAGTCTCGCTCTGTCACCCAGGCTGGAGTGCAGCGGCGCGATCTCGGCTTAATGCAACCTCTGCCTCCTGGGTTCAAGTGATTCTCCTGCCTCAGCCTCCTGAGTAGCTGGGATGACAGGCGTGCACCACCACATCTGGCTAATTTTTTTTAGTAGAGACAGGATTTCACCATGTTGGTCAGGCTGGTCTCGAACTCCTGACCTCGTGATCCACCCACCTTGGCCTCCCAAAGTGCTGGGATCACAGGTGTGAGCCATAGTGCCTGGCCAAAAATGAATATTTTTAAATATTGATAGATATATAAACCAGAAGAAGCTTTCTGGAAGGCAATTTTCTGACATGTATACAATGCAAAGTTTCATAACTGTTCTTGCCCTTACAACCTAGAATTTCCTTTTCAATTAGGAAAAAAAAGAAAATTCTAAATGTCCAGAAGATGATTTATTCAATCATTTCTAGTATACTTGTAGATGAAACACTATCAGTCAGGTGCATTGGCCCATGCCTGTAGTCCCGGATACTTAGGAAGTTGAGGTGGGAGGACTGCTTGAGTCCAGGAACTCAAGGCCAGCCTGGGCAACAGAGTAAAATCCCTTTTCTACAAAATATAATTAAAAAAAAATTAACTGGGCATGGTGGTGCATGCCTGTAGTCCCAGCTGCTAGTGGGGCTGAGACGGGAGGAGTGCTTGAGCCCATGGAGCCATGATTGTGCTATTGCACTCCAGTCTGAGTGACAGCACTAGACCCTGTGTTCTCCACAAACAAAAAGAACAAAGACAAAAACCAACAACCCTACCAAAACAAATACTATGCAGTCATTAAAATATTCTTTTAGAATAGTTTAAAGAGAAAATGTTCATAAAGCACTAGTAACTAAAGCAGATACAATATAAAGCAGGCCTAAATGTCTTCCCGTCATCTAACCTTTTAAGACTAAGATGAGGTTTACTTAAACCTTTTTGTGCCACAGAAAACACAGGCAGCTTACCATTTGATAATGCTTAATATCAAACCTTAATATAAGGACAGTATAATGAAGGAAAAGCATACAAATAAGCCAGTGTTTTGTGTGTCTAGCCATGGAATAAACAGAATAAATAACACAAAGGACTATAGGACTTAGGCCCAGACAACCATGACACTATCACACCCAGGCCAAGTGCTATGTCTAATATCTATGATCCCAGCACTTTGGGAGGCCAAGGTGGGAGGATTGCCTGAGCCCAGGAGTTTAGGACCAGCTTGCACAACATGGTGAAACCATGTCTCTACAAAAAATACAAAAATTAGCTGGGTTTGGTGGCATGAACCTATAGTCCCAGCTGCTTGAGCTTGGGAAGTGGAGAGTACAGTGAGCTGAGATCATGCCACTGCACTCCAGCCTGGGTGACAAAGACTGTCTCAGAAACAGAAAGCAACAAAACAACCTATACAACTATGAGCAATGTGAGTAATTAACTTGAAGAATTAAGACAGAACTTTATAAAAATCAAGTACTTAATAGGCCATGATAGGTCTGGATTAAAAGGAAATAAAATATCTACAACAAATGATAATAAAAACATTTCAGGGCTGGGTGTGGTGGCTCATGCCTGTAATCTCAGCACTTTGCAGGCCAAGGCGGGTGGATCATGAGGTCAGGAGATCAAGACCAGTCAGACCAACATGGTGAAAAACTCCGTCTCTACTAAAAATACAAAAATTAGCTGGGCGTGGTGGCGTGTGCCTGTAATCCCAGCTACTCAGGAGGCTGAGGCAGCAGAATTGCTTGAACCAGGGAGTCAGAGGTTGCAATGAGCAGAGATCGTGCCACTGCACTCCAGCCTGGCGATAGAGTAAAACTTTGTCTCAAAAAGGAAAACAAAAAACAAAAAAGCAAAAACCATTTCAAGTCAAAAGTTATGAGACAAATCTAAAGCAGTGGGAAATTCATAGATTCAAATAGGTTTATCCAGAAATAAGAAAATTAAAAACAAATGAGTAAAGCATTAAACTCATGAACCTGGAGACAGCAACACAACAAGCCCCAAGAAAAGCCTGCTCTCCCTGGGCAAAGGACAGCTCACTGAGGCAGAAGACTTTTTGACAATAATCACTCTCCTACAGTCTAATACCACGGAAACCATTATGGCTAATGGCAAGCGGGGGCCTCCACCTTTGCCCAGCTCTGATGTAGTGCCCCAGTCACCATCCTACTGGGATGGAATGAACTTCCCCTCCCTCCCAGCAATGAGAGTCCCCACCCAAGGTATCAATGGAGTTTGTGCCGGGGAACCCGGACTTCCACCCACACCTTTCCTGCAGTATCAGAGGAGACCTGCTAAAACATAAGATTTACAGAGAGCCAATTCTCATACAAATATACAGGAGACAATTGAAAAATCACTGGTCATACCAAGAACCAGAAAAATCCCAACTTGAATAGAAAAGACAACAGATGCCAACATCACTATGAACACTATGTTGGATTTGTCTGACAAAGATTTTAAAGCAGCCGTCTTAAAAATGCTTCAACAGGCCCGGTGCGGTGGCTCAAGCCTGTAATCCCAGCACTTTGGGAGGCCGAGGCGGGTGGATCACGAGGTCAAGAGATCGAGGCCATCCTGGTCAACATGGTGAAACCCCGTCTCTACTAAAAATACAAAACATTAGCTGGGCATGGTGGCACGTGCCTGTAATCCCAGCTACTCAGGAGGCTGAGGCAGGAGAATTCCCTGAACCCAGAAGGCGGAGGTTGCGGTGAGCCGAGATCGCGCCATTGCACTCCAGCCTGGGTAACATGAGCGAAACTCCGTCCCAAAAAAAAAAAAAAAATGCTTCAACAGAGGCTGGGCATGGTGGCTCACACCTGTAATCCCAGTACTTTGGGAGGCTGAGGTGGACGGATCACCTGAGGTCAGGAATTCTCAGACGAGCCTGACCAACATGGAGAAACCCCATCTCTACTAAAAAAAATACAAAATTAGCCAGGTGTGGTGACACATGCCTGGAATCCCAGCTACTCAGGAGGCTGAGGCAGGAGAATCACTTGAACCGGGGGGACGAAGATTATGGTGAGCCGAGATTGCGCTGTTGCACTCCAGTCTGGGCAACAAGAGCTAAACACTGACACGCTCATGCTCACACACACACACACACACACACACACACACCCACCCAAACCCCAGCAAATCTTAGCAAAGAAAATAAACCACTAAGTGGAAATTTTTAGAACTGAAAAATACAGTATCAGTGTTAGAGCAAAAAGAAACCTATGAAACTAACCTCGTGGGCCTTCTCTGGACTAGCTGCCTCTTTAGGGCTGGCCCCAGACATGCTCTTCCTCCGCTTCGTATTTCCAGGTGGAGACTCCTCTTGAGATCGTTCTGATCTCTTCAACACTGACCGAGTGCCGGAGCTACACAGGGAAGCAGAGTCAAACAGCTTGCATCGGTTGTCCTTATAGGAAGAAAAAAGACAGACCCATCTTTCATTAAAACCTGTTCACTTGCATGGTAAGACAAATAAATCAAAGGCTACCTAAAGGCTACCTGGGATGATTTAAGATCAGTTCTAAATTAGCAAACAGATACTGCTGATTCATTTAGTCCCAGCAACTCTCATAGGGCCTGGCACATAGCAGGCACTGAGCATTTAGCACTCAATGAATATATACTCAGCTGACATTATATAGAGATGAGCAAAACATCCTTTGCCCTCACAAAAACTGTCTATATAATCCTGCATCAAGAGAAGTGTCAGCTTCCAGTCAGGAGCACATTTTTGGCTTGCCTATCTTCCCCTCCATGTTATTACTTGCACCTTGCTTAAGCAGCTCAACGGGTTTAAATACCCCACCTAAATCCAGAAAAGATGCAAAGTAGCTAGGTTATACTAAAAATGGAGGCATCATGGTTAAGGCATAGTTAAGATGGTAAGTTTGGAGGGAGTGGGGATGGGCAGAGTAGCAAATGCCTTTCAAAATTGTCTAAGTCCTTCTTTCTACTTGGTCTTTTAAAGATTAATTTCCCAGGCTGGGCTCAGTGGCTCACGCCTGTAATCCCAACACAGTGGGTTACCTGAGGTCAGAAGTTCAATACCAGCCTGGCCAACATGAAGAAACTGTCTCTACTAAAAATACAGAGCAAGACTCTGTCTCAAAAAAAAATAAAAATAAAAAACAAACAAATAAAGACTAATTTTCCAGAGTCCAAGGGAAGCCAATCTGACCAGTGGTAGAGACAGAGTCTAACCTCAGCTCTGTAAATGCATCTCAGCCTGTTCTCCATTCTGTGTGTCTTGGCCTGGCTTTTCCTTCTGTACAGAATGTCCTTTCACACCCCAGTGAACAGTCATTTTCAAGTTGATGCTAACATTTCAACGTCACTTCTTTGAAGTATTCCTGAGAGTCCTCAGTAGAATGGATCACTCCCATATCTGTTCCCATTGAGACCAGGGATTTTCTCCCTCTTTTGTCTGAAGTTTATTTTCTATTATAGCTCCCAGAAATGGTTAGTCTATAATAACCATTTGTGGAAGAAATTTTCCTACGATTAAGAGCCCACAAGCCCATGTTTATGATTTTAAAATTAAATTTATAAAACTAATAGCCACTTCTGGCCAGGCGCAGTGGCTCACACCTGTAATCCTAGCACTTTGGGAGGCCTAGGTGGGTGGACTGCCTGAGCAACATGGTGAAACCCCATCTATACTAGAATACAAAAAAAATCAGCCAGGCGTGGTGGTGTGCACCTGTAGCCCCCACTACTTAGGAGGCTGTGGCAGAAGGATCGCTTAAACCTGGGAAAGAGGTTGCAGTGAGCTGAGATCGCACCACTGCACTCCAGTCTGGGTGACAGAGTGAGACTCTGCCTCCGAAAAATAAATAAATAAAACTAATAGCCACTTCCAAAGCATTCTCACATTCGATGTAATTTTATGTGTCTGTCAAAATGACCTGGTAAATTTAGTCATACATTTGTACTGGGTTAACCTATCTTCTCAACAGCTATGCACATTAATCTACTATAGTCCATAAGCAATCACAAAACTGTAGCTCAGCTGGGTGTGGTGGCTCACGCCTGTAATCCCAACACTTTGGGAGGCCAAGGTGGGCGGATGACCTAAGGTTAAGGAAGACCAGCCTGGCCAACATGGTGAAAACTTGTCTCCAGTAAAAATACAAAAAATTAGCCAGGAGTGGTGATGCATGGGAGGCTGAGGCAGGAGAACTGCTTGAACCCAGAAGGCAGAGGTTGCAGTGAGCCAAGATTGTGCCACTGCACTCCAGCCTGGGCAACAGAGAGAGACTCTGTCTCAAAACAACAACAAACACACATACACAAAAAAAAAACAGAGCTGGGCACAGTGGCTCATGCCTGTAATCCCAGCACTTTGGGAGGCTGAGGCAGACAGATCATCTGAGGTTGGGAGTTCAAGGCCAGTCTAATCAACATGGAGAAACCCCTTCTCTACTGAAATTATAAAATTAGCCAAGTGTGGTGGCACATGCCTGTAATCCCAGCTACTCGGGAGGCTTAGGCAGGAGAATCACTTGAACCNCTCACCGCAACCTCCGCCTCCTGGGTTCAGGCAATTCTCCTGCCTCAGCCTCCTGAGTAGCTGGGATTACAGGCACGCACCACCATGCCCAGCTAATTTTTTTTGTATTTTTAGTAGAGACGGGGTTTCACCACGTTGACCAGGATGGTCTCGATCTCTTGACCTCGTGATCTACCCACCTCGGCCTCCCAAAGTGCTGGGATTACAGGCTTGAGCCACCGTGCCCGGCCCGGGTCACTAGTTTTTATGATGAAAACATACTATGCTATACTTGTTATACAAAGTAAAATTTTAGCAGTTACTGATCAGAGAACTCTTGCCGGAAGCAATTTACCTTACAATGGGTGCTAGAGATAGCCTCTTGTGAAGAATAAGGTTTATTAGGAGGTTGCATCTGTGAACACTGATCAGCATTGAGGACTGTGACAGTGTGAGAATCTGCTGAAATGAGTTAGGGCAAGCAGATGCAAATCTCTACAGACACCATAAAATGACCTAGAGAATGTGCTTATATAACTCCGGCTCTGAAAGGAGGAAATAAAAGGTGACTTGGTTCTATAAAATCTATCCTTGTTCTTTAGACTTGGGATTTAAATGCTGCTCAGTTTTCAAATGAGGAATTACTGTGCGCCAGATACTATGATACATCTTTACACATAAAATTCAAGAGAAGCCTCACAATATCCTAAAGGTAGCTAATCCTTTCCTTTTTCTTTAGCAAATCAGGAAACTGGTGCTTAAGAGAGGTTACCAAGATTATACACTTTACCTGTTTGACTCCAAAATCCAAACTCTTTTCCTCACTACACTATCTCCCTAGGAGACAATCATTCCTGGAATTAAAATGGCGGTACTATGGCCAGGTGCAATGGCTCAGGCCTATAATCCCAGCACTTTGGTAGGAGACGGGTGGATAATGAGGTTGGGAGATTGAGACCATCTTGGCTAACACGGTGAAGGCCCGTCTCTACTAAAAATACAAAAAATTAGCCGGGTGTGGTGACACGTGCCTGTAGTCCCAATTACTCAGGAGGCTGAGGTTGTAGTGAGCCGAGATCATGCCACTGCACTCCAGCCTGGGTGACAGAGCAAGACTCTGTCTCAAAAAAAACCCCAAAAAACCAAAAAAACTGTGAGTTACTGTGCTTGTCTAATTTTATGCTAGGTTCTGTGAAATATAAATGAGAATAACCTAAAAAAAGGAAAGTTTTCAGGCCAAAGGCTTCAGATAGGCTTTTTTCAAACTAACTGGATGTTAAAAGCTGGGAATTATCATGGTCCCTTCTAACCCACACTCTTTATAGATCAGGAGACATGCAGAGACATGATAGCATAACTAAAGGTCATAGTTTGTAGGTAGCCAAAAGGAAGCCTAAAATCCAGATCCCCAAATCCTACCATTCATTTCAACCTTTAGCTATACTCAACTAAGGATTACTCTATCCAGTGGCTCAATCACTCAGGGCTTCCTCCAGACACAACACAACAACTCACAAGGTTTGTAGTTCTCATGACAAGAGGAGCTGTCCAGAGGCTTGCCATGCACGAAGGGGTCTCCTCCTCATTCTAAAGAAACAGAAAAATTGACTTTGAAAAGATCATGAGGAGACTAACATTTGTTTAAATGCTTTAGGTGTGTTTCTGCCTGAAGAATTACCAGACAGGCCTGGATAGGAAGTATCTTAATATACCATCTTACTCATATAGACTGTTAGCTCCTTCAGGGAAAGAAGGATCATATCAATGTCTTTTTTTGACACTCCTGTCCCCTAACCCAAAGGATTTAATAAGGCTGGTAGCCCTATTATTAAATAAATTCTCACCAAATGAACAAAAACATTAGCAAAGTGCTGGGTGTGGTGGCTCACACCTGTAATCCCAGAACTTTGGGAGGCCAAGGCAGGCAGATCACAAGGTCAGGAGTTCAAGACCAGCCTGGCCAACATGGTAAAACCCCATCTCTACTAAAAAAACAAAAATTAGCTGGGAGTGGTGGCGCATGCCTGTAATCCCAGCTACTT